TTCAGTGGGAGTGTGAGTGTGGTGGGCGGAAAGATGTCTGGAGCATCGAAGGAGATCGTGTCAGGCAGCGATGCAGGAGAGAGGGGAGTGCGACGCACAGGATCAGCAACATCGGGAGCATTGGGTGCATCAGGAGGAGCGGAGCGCGGGAAGGTAACGAGGGATCGAGCTGCCGTAGATGGATCGGCAGGACTTGGCGACAACGGCGAGGCGAGTGCAGGTTCCGAGCATGTGAGAAGATCTTCACTCAGCAAAGTTGAGAGCGACCTCCGGCAACGTGACGCGACGAAGCATCAAGGTGATATGGAAATTTTCCACGGCAGTACAAGTCACCGTAGTGTGCGTCACGGAGGGAGGGAAAGCAGCAAGAGCTCTGAGAGCAACGCGCGTGTGGCTGCAGCCGGTGCTGAGCAGAGTGGGGGGCATGGAAGGGATGATGGGCGTCACTCCGGGTCAGTGGCACGCCGGAGTTCAGAGCGAAATCGCGTTCCGCCACAGCCCGTCATTCCAGGAGACGGAGGCAGTATGCGCAGCAGTGGAAGTGGATCTGTGGGCAAGACTCAAGACACAGGACGCGGAGAAGGTGGCTTGACAATGACTAGGTCTCTGGAAAGGAGATATGAGAGCGACGAACGCGGCTTAAGCAAGACGTCTTCGCAGTTGGCGGAGAGTGTCGAAGGGTTGTCACGGCGGCGGCGGGGGTCTGCCGACGGGTCATCTGAATGGGCTGTTGACAAACATGCGGGCAGCTTGTCTGGAGACGGTAGGTACCTACAGATGGCTCGGAGTGGTGGCTCGCGAGGCGACAGAGAGGAGGGTTTCAATGGGAGTGTGAGTTAGGTGTGCAGAACAATCTCCGGTGCATCGAAAGAGATAGTGTCAGGTAGCTAGTTAGGGGGGTCGTTAAGGAATGATAGTGAGTTCGCTTTGGAGTTTTGAAACTGTATTTGGATTCAGTACAGTGTTTGCAGTTGGAATAGCGGCTGGGAACCGCCTTTCATCTAGTTGCTTTTGAGTTAGCGCGGCGAATGCAGTCTTGCCTTGTTTACTGCCTTTGCTTTGCGAGGTTCGGTGGTTGCATCACAATGCATAACACAATGTGTGCCAAGTATCTATTTGCTGTTCCTGGGTTTCGTAAGGGGGAATTCGTGGGAGCCGTGGAAGATATATAAACTGCAGGAAGGAAGAGGAAGGCTCTGGCGTGAGTGATGCTGCCTTGTTCTGCCACAACAATATATTTTTGATAAGCCCAGTTACAGCTGTCGATTGTTCTGAAGATGTGGAAGAAAACTCCGCTGCTATATGGCAAATTTAATAGATCCAAACTGCAGTGTGGTGCCTTCAGGCAGCGGAATACGCCAGTGTTTTGTCAGTTGGAACGACTCTGCAGCTGCCAGAGTCCGCTGCGGTGGATGATTCGGCTTATGAAACGAGGACTCGAGCCTCTCCAAGAGTAGTCCTGAGCAGAACACTGATTCTTTAGCTGCAAAGCAGCATGAATGGGCATCACGTGATTCACCTCAGGGCCTTTTGACGTCGAATCGGAGCACAACTGCCAGGTGCAACCCGCTAGGCTCTTGCGGCCATAGAACTATAATCCGAGCTTCGTAGACGTAGACGTACGAAGCTTTGAGCCCCTTATAGGTCAGAAAATGCTCCCTGCAGTTTTCCGGCTCGCAATTCCGTTGCTCTCCTGCCCTCATGAATATTCTGTCGCAGCCATACTAAGGACTCTCCATTCGCCATGGAAAACAACGGGAGTACGTCAAAGCGAATAGAACCTCTTTGTAGATCGGCTGGAGAAACAGATGGAAAGTCTTCTTCTAGGAGGAGAAGCAGCACTGGGAGCTTCAGCGACAGAAAAAGTGGGAATGAGTACCGCTTGGGGCGAACGCCACTTCCATCTGGCCAACCGAGAAAGCCACGCATTGACAGTGCTGCTCCGACAGAATATGCTGTGCGACCTTCTTACATGGCTACCAGTGCGCTTGGGAGGCGACTGACAGCGCAAACTAACATATGGTCAGGCGTGGGAACATATGAGCCACTAGCATCTTCAGTTTTCCATGGATTGTTCCCGAACTTGTCTCCTGAGCTTCAATCGCTTTGTATGCAGTGCCTTGGCACTACAGACTCTCCAGAACTGCGTGCGCTGACAGACATCCAGAAGGCAGTTATGGCACTGGTTGCAAAACAATCCGTTCAGAAAAGTGCAGAGGCCAAAAACCGTCTCACGAAAGCTTTTGAAGGGGCCCGGGATATTAATGCGGCACTTGACTGTCTGGAGCAGTTTCTGTTGAGTCGCGCGCCAATACTCATATACTTTGACATTGCAAGCCTCACTCCACACCTAGACCACGGGGGGTGCATTAGGTAAAGCCAGCGACTACGCCATTTCGACGCTACAGTGCAGCTTTTAGGTACATTATTTCGCAGCAGTCAGCGTTGTACGGAAATCTGGCGCAGCTGCTTGTGGGCCTTTCACTCAGGTCACACTTTGAAATACCACAGACCGACTCAACGTATCTGCGGAAATGTAACGAAAGGGAGCAAGCACTTTACTCTGGCTTGTATGAACATGAGTCCGTCAGACCGGAGCATCATCCGAAATATGGCTACGTTAGCGTGAACTGCAGAATTCAGCCTCCATGGGAGCCGCAAACTGGCGAAGCTTGTCTAATTCTGAAAGATCACGTGCGGTACGTACTTGAGTCCTACATGGTTCCTTTTAAAAGCGAAGTGTGTTCTTTAACGCGCACAAAAGGGATTCAGCGGATGCTGCGTTGCCTGTGTGCGGAAGTCTTTTCTTGCAACGGATAGTGTTTGCTCGCGAATCTACGCTTGCAGGGTTAGAACCACAATATCAGCTAGCCAAAGCTGCGGGTCTAGTGCGCTGGCGTTCGGCCATGAGCCTTTAGTTGCCACTCTCAACAGCCCGTGGCATGTTCTGGAAACATTTGGACCTGACGCTCTAGGAGCTTTAGCCGTAAGTGCGCACGACATTTTGACAAATGCGCTATGCCATTACTAGATGTTGCGCATAGTTGCTATACTTATGGTTCCCTACGACATTCCCACGCATCGACGGCGTCGAAGGTCCAAAGGACCAAGCGGCTTTTATGCTTCCAGTGCTCAAGCAGCAGGCATTCCCGACTCACAGCGCGGACTTCGGAGAAGTGGGAGATATACATGGAGTGTGTCTCTGCAGGCTTTTGCTAAGAAGCCATCAGCAGCCACAGGCGCTGACATACCAGCATTGCTGGACTGCAACATCCACGGAGAAATCAAGCTTGGGTGAGGCCGAAACTACATTAGCATCTGACTGCTGAGATCAATAATAAAGAAACAGAGTTGTATAATTACTTTGAGCTCAGGAAGGACGTGGAAGCTATCGTTGTGCCAAAGAGTTCAACACGTGACAAGGCGATGCTGTTAAAACTACGGAGCATTGCCACGTTGAACTTGGTGCCAATGCTATCTATGGAAGCGTGCCCCATAGTAGTGAAGAACGACAGCTGGAAGCGCAGCATACGCCACTTGCAGCACGAGGTTCTGCTCAACAAGACCGCTCTTGGAAACACATATGGGCAAATATGACAAAATGCATCAAACAGTCGAAGCCGAATGACTCCTAGAGTGGCAGGTCCCACGGCGTAAACAAGAGCCAGTCTTCACGTGTTCGTTCGTTCTAGGTGCTGCCCATAAACGTGTGTAACATGGATTCGCTTACAATGCCTTCCAGCAGGAGCAACGCATAGCACTTCTGCCCCTTCGTGCACGCGTGTGCATTTGGCAAGGGGCCAAGAGGCTAGTCGTAATCTTCTTGGCTTTGCTCGCCTTCCAATTATGTTTTGTCGTCCCACAAGCATGGGGTGCCGGCGCTTTTTTGCTCTTTCCCAAATGCACGGCAGCTTATTTGAAGAGGAGTCCGTTGCGCGGGAGGAAGCTTTCATTTTTCCCGATCAGTACTTCGGTCGTTTTGATGAAGTGACACACTTGTCGCTTTTAACGAGATGGAACAACATAGCTGACTTTCTGATTGTTCTGTGCCGTTTCCCTGCCCCAAGGGGTAAGTAGACACTATACTTCGTGGTGGCAGCAACTGTTTTGGGAAACTGCGCCTTCCTAAAGAAAGTCATGGAAACATGCTTGTGTGCGTAGTAACTGCATATGAGTATCTGCATATCCACAGTTGTTTCGGCACCTGAATAAAAAAAGAATCCAAAAAAGTGTAGGCGTGTGTGCGTGCACTAAACATGCATCTCCTCCAGCCAAAGTAGTAGTTCCTTTACAAAGCAATGGGTGATGCTGTGAAACCCGCACGAATGGACTGCAGCTTCGCCTGCTGCTCTCAGAATCTGTTTGGCTTCGATGATACAGCCTGCTTGGCTGAAAAGCATTGCAGCCTTGTACATCTGAGCAGACACTTCTGGCTGTTCCAAGCTAAAAGGAAGCCTTTGCAGTAACACGTAGATTCCCGCAGATTGGCACATTGCTGCGAAATTCAGCAGCTCGAGATACGCTTTTTTATCTCCACACTCACGGTGAGCGATCTTGGCCTGCGCGTAAGCTGCCCTGGCCACAGCGTGCAGAGCTCGCCACGCATCAGCCGACAAGAAGCCATTGGCAGCAAGAGCATCAGAAATTGCTCGCATGGTCTCCTTTAGAATATCCGCGAATTGCATGCAGCTCCGCACTCCCCTACTACTGACGAAGGACGTGACGGAGCTTCCAAGTCGTTGAAGCAAGCCGTCAAGTTGCACAACAGTGGCTGCTCGTCTGTTCTCAAGAATATCAAACGCGAAGCATGCGCGACAATTTAGACAGTAAAAGCCGCTGCACACGAAGAAAGGCCCGTTACTACTCAGAACTGACGTTACAACGACTGGTGGATCAGGACTAGCCGAAACGTCACGGGTCCACAAGCGTGCACACGAATGACCCAGTATCGCCAATGCTTGCGTTTTCGTCCACGGATGCTGCGGTTCCCCTTCAGTCAGCGTGGTTAAAAGCAATTTGGAATAGACTGCGATGAAGTTAAGTGCTTCTGCGGGCATTTTCGAAAGTACTGAAAAGCCACTGAAGGGCATTCCCATTTGGAACCGCTGCTGAGTTGTTGGCACCGAACCTCCGCGAAGGCGCGAATCTAAGCTGCGTCTGTGCAGCGCAGTTGCCTCAAGAAGCACATATCGTTTTTGTTTACTACAGTCACTTCGCTGTACCTCCTCCAAGAGCTGATGCACTCGTGGTGCTGAGGTGCAATGGGGACATGGGTGGCCACACAATAGCTCGTGCCGAAAAGGTATATCTCCAGCAATGGCTAAGCTACCTTCATAACGCGGAGCCTGGCACGCCTGTTCGCAAGAAATGATGCACAAGAATTCCATCTTTATTCAAGCGTTGAAGCTAGGGGAAACTGCTTGAGCAATCTGCCTTTTCTACGTTGCTGAGATACTTGTAATGAGCTGCTTGCGTGAGTAGTCAAGCTGCCTACGCTCACCTGACAAAGACAAAAAAAACCTGCATTCCTTAAAAGCCAGTCTTGACGAGATCCCCATGAGCTATTTCGCAGGCCTACTATTGGACCATAAGAAATACAAATTTCCTGGGAATCTTTACATTTTCCGCGTGTACATAGGCGGATCTGTAGAAGGGCTCCGCGCCCGGAGACGCTGGCATTGCTCAAAGAAGACCGCACGTCTTGAAGACTGGAGGAATGCGCAAAGTCGCCGTGGCGCTTTTGATCTCGCTGCCCTCGGAGGCTGGGCTCTCCAAACGTTGCAAAAGCATTCGGGATGCATGAATGGTTAAGGAGAGACGCTGCGAGGAAAAATGCAGTGCCAGCAGGAACGGCATCTTCCTCGGGATCACACATAACACGAATTGTGAAGCTGTTGCAACAGGCTACGCCATATGCATGCAGCGCTGCAGCAACTAGGCACCTAGGGAAACATGGTTGACACGCCAATGTGACCCTACTGGACTGCAAAGCTGGCACATCAGCACAGCAATGAGAGCACCATGCCCGACAGCATGCGCAGCAATTCGAGCACAACCCGATTTTAGCTGTCTCGACGAGGGCGTCTTCTGTTTCCGTCGCCCTTGTCTGCGTCGATTGCAACGCTGCTTCTCGGACTGAAGAGTCCACAACCGTAGGTGCCTGCCTCAGAAACGACTTGCATAGAAGACAACGACCGCCACACTGCAGCACTCGGCCGGAAGCAACAGCGTCTCCAGCTAGCCATGCAGCATTCAGCAACCAATCTGTAATCTTGGTGCTGTCTACAACTACAGAGGAAGTCATTGTAAGCAGCTGCTGCCACGCCGGCTCCCTTAGTTTCCTTAGTCCGGAAGAGGTAAGGGCATCTTCCGCGTTCACCGCAGACCGCGCTAGGGCACACTGGCCCTCCGCCTCTAATAGTTTACTCGATGTAGTTGTTGACGGCAGAAGGGATGCTAACAGCTGCCGCGCAATGTGTCGATGGGGATCCGGCAGCGACAGTGCTAAAGGCAGCAATGCGCTGCACGCTGCAGACTTTTCACCTGCTTCCCCTGTGCTATCTGTAGTGTTGTGTTGCTTCAGCGCCGTTTGCATACCCATCCAGCACTCGTGGTGTTCATCCTCATCCACGTGTTTAGGGAGGCTACAAACGCGTTTGTGAGAGGAGCCATCTTTGCAGGCGTGACAACAGAAGAGAGCCCCTGTGCAGGAGCCACACGGTACAACAGGCAGCGTTGGCCTGAGTAGATAATTAATTGCTACGTTCCAAGAGTCCAGCGCTCGTGAATGCCACATACTTGCAGCTGCCTCCGCTCTAGCTGGTACTGTTGCGCAGCCTGCACATACAAAGTGAACTCCATCAGCTGATTCCACAGAAACGTCAGATTCTTCTTTCCCCATATTTTCTGAAGAGCACATCTTGCTAACGGCAGATTCTTCAACAAGCTCTTCCCACGCACGGCGCATGGTTTCATCCGCGTGCAGCTCCAGGGAGTGCGGTGCTTGCGAATTCGATAATTCACAGCACGGGAACGTATCTGCTAAGGGGATTTTCGGGATAGCTGCACAGTGCTTAGGGTGTACCCACACAGCAAATGCTTCTTCTTCCAAAACAAGAGACGAATCACCCTCCTGTTCAGCCACCTCTCCGTTCGTCGTCACCATGCCCCACCCTTTCTCGTTGTGCTGCAGATTTACGTCTCCCCTAATCCAGAGTCTACGTGAACAAAACTGATGTGCATTAGATCCCGAAGAGCGGCTACAGGCTACATTGGAATCGCAGCCGCAAGTGCCAATAAGCATACCGGTTGCTGCGGCTTGTGCATCAGTTGGCTTTGCTTGGCTCATCGACATCCTCTGAGCCTCGGCTATCTCATAGTCGATATGCTGTAGGCAAGAACGAATAATTTCATTCCACGATGCGCTGCTGTGGGAGTTTCTGTTGTTGAAGTTACTGCCGGCACTATGGAAATGTTCTTTTACTTTTTCCCGTAAACTAACCAGAGCGGCTGCACGCCTATGCCACGCCTTACGGTACAACGGATCGGTAGCAACAGCAACTGTAGCCGCTCGTACCGCTTCCCTGACTCGTCCAAGTCTCAAGAGAGCAAGAGCCCTATTTGCAGACAAGACAGCAAATAGAGCGTCGCTTCCTTCGCCTTTGCCGCTTTTGCTTGGAAGAAGCATGATCGCGGCTAAGTAGAGAGCTTCAGCAGCCGCTAAGCGACCCCGTCGAAGGGCCTCATTACCCCAAAGCTTGATCTGCTTGCTGATTTCAGCACTCGGGCGCAGTTTCCATACTTCTACACTCGAAATATGGGATGGGTCAGAGGGCCCCAGCCCTATCTTCGAGGAAGCAGACGACCAAGAGTTTGTGTTGCTGTCTTCCCAGACGCGACGAAAGATCTGGAGAAGATGAGGGGTAAGCACTGCGGAGGCAAGAGAAACTGAGTCAATCGAAAAAATGTCACTCGTGCAGGTAACGCCTCCCTCCGATACACGGCAGCCGCAGTTCGCACTGTGATTGTTGCATGGAGTTGTCACCCCGCTGGGAGAATTCTGAGAGGTTCCATCAGTGTCGATGCTATACGGTGGGGACGGCGATGCCAAAGGCTGGGAACGAGAGAAGATACGGCGAGCAACGAGTTCTGCATTGTCAGCGCCACTCTTGCTAACAGCTGGGGAAGTACATTCGTTGCATATGTGACAGCTGTCTCTGAAGCTGAGGTCGCTGGTAGCGGGGAGGCAGGTGTGGGTGCTGCAATGTCTGGAGATCTCTTCACAAGGCGTACTCGTAGCACTGCGAGCGACTTCAGCGCTATTGCCGAGACCATCGCTGCCATTTCTGTCGGGCTGTTCTGCACATCTGGGTTGAGTCCCATGGGCGCCGATGGCCCTTTGCAAGTCGTGCAGCGCGGGCGAGCAGATTTGCTGTAGATGCTGGAACAGAAGGCTTTTGGACATTTCATTCCAAACTACGCATCGATGATGCAGTGCTCACTAATACATTCTAGTAACTGCAGTTACAGACTACCCTGAAATATGGTTATGCAGAGATTGTGGAGAGAAACTAACCCCGAGATTTTTCGTAAGTGATGGGGGCCCCACGGGAGACCGGTGCTTGGAAGATGCCTCGACTCGGGCGTTGACGAGTAAGCTATTCGAACTACAACGTTACGTGTGGCAAGGATTTTATTCTTCTGTGACCATTTTCACTACATGTGTGATACCTACCCTTAAGATCTTTTTATTTCCTTGGAGGCTCTCTGTGTGCGGTGATGCATGCAATTTGGGGAGCTTGCGTGGCTACCGTTTAGTCGTTGCTGTGTATTTCAAGAAGTTTGCGGGAAACAAACACACTTGCCACTGAAATATACGGCATGGAACAACGGAGGAACTAGTGCCTGAAGTGGCAAGCGTCAAGCGACAGCGACCCGCCACCCTGCTGGTTCACATAGCACTTCTTGTGTCCAGATCCCTGGCATACACTAACTTTGCAAATTGGTGTTCCGCGCGCCGTCTTCTGTTTGGCCTGACCTGCAACGAGATGGCGCGTGACGCATCCGAGGTACCGGTAAGGTTAGGCAGTACATGAACATTATGTGTAGGGGCCCTGAGTTGATGATCGTGGATCCATCTTCACCCAGGCTATACTTTCCATGTATGGCTGCGGCACATCAGACAGTGTACCGTGATGCTCTGTCTTACCTACGGAGTAGCGAGTAGATGCACAATTGATATATTGCAGTGCAGACGCACGATACGGTCAGAAGTTCCGTTACTGTCTTCTGCTGAACATTCCCCAGGTTATGCGATTGGAGAATCTGGTCATTGCCGCGAAGGATGGCGAGCACAGAAACATTCCTCGGGCGAAGTTCATAGTATGTATCCGGACACCGTGTTGTATTTGTGGCCTGACCCTAAACTATGCACTTTAGGGACAAGTCAAGAATATGACCCGAGCATCTTGTGCATGTGCCCATCATTTTTAAACACTGATTCATAGTGGCACAGAATCTCCGCAGTGGTATTTGCGGGACGTCTTCTGAAGCCACTTCCTGCTCGAAGCATTTGCAACACCCTGAGATAGCCATGCATCTTACCCTTGCCATCACAAGCCGTGTGGTTTTTCGAGCCTGTCATCTTTCGGTGTTCTGTTTGTCCCTTTGCAGGAGAACGTGGAGTCATTCGTAGGGTCCTGTGACCCAACATCCGTTGAATGGCTATTAAAAGAGCTTCTCCAGTAATGCTGGAACCACGCGTTTCCCCCTACCAAATTCTCAACAGCCATTACTGGGACCGCATGCCTTGTGTGGCGTTTGCTTAGCTGGTTGATGCATGTGGGCTAGCCAGTGTCATTTTCTGTGTTCCCAGGAAGTATCGTTTCATGGAGAGGTCTCTTCTTGGACAAAAATGCATGCTGCGGGCCAAGGCAGTCGCAATAAAGGAGACCATGGAGGCAGTGGCGATGCTGCAGAAACAGCGGGTGAGCGGAGCAAAAGCTGTCGTTTTATTGCGCCCATGCACGTTGGTTTGTGCTGTAGAAGTTGTTTTGCATTCTTTCGTGGCTCTTGTGAGTTTCCTGGACTACAGGACAAAGCAAAAGAGGGAAAGGATGGGGATTTAACGACACGTCTGCAGCTGGCAGAAACAGTCTACGTGCAGGCTACCATTCCGCCAAAGGATACAGTGTGCCTCTGGCTAGCCGTAAGAAGTGCCTGCTAATTGCGCATCTGTCCAGGCAGATGCAGTCATGAATCATTGGGACCTGTTTGAATGGGATTCATGAATATTTACAGTACGCTTTAATTCTGCGTGTAGTGCACGTGGCACTAGTAACAGTTCAAACTCTGCTTACGTTTCATGGCTGGCGCAGGCGGATGTCTTTGTGGAATATACCCTCGAGGAAGCAGAGGAAGTGCTCAGCAAAAGCCTCAACTCTGCAACGAAGTATCTAGGGGAAGCGGTGAGTCAAATCAGGCCTTTTTCGTGTATCCTTTCGAGTTAATGTTTTTCCACAGGTGCATCTAGGTGCATTATGTGAAGCCAGGTTTGCTTTGAATTGGGCACAGAAACATGCTTACCTATCCATACAGATCGGTGCTAACAGCAAGTAAAGCATGAAACTGCCGATTGAAAGACTGATGCGCTTGTTTCCCATTCAGTAGCAATCAGTAGCCACTGAAGGGAGATCAGTAACCAGCCCATATCCATGTGTGTCTGAAGGCGGCGGATTTGGAATGGCTGCGCGAGCAAATAATCATGACTGAGGTCAACGGCGCCCGCGTTCACAACTTTGCAGTGCACAAAATGCAACAGCGGCAAGCCGCCGCTGCAGAAGATAAGACAGACAGGAAACATGACTGAAACGCTGCACCCTGAATCTGCGAGTGTAATACGAAAACGAACGTAGCATCCGAAGCGCGAGCGCGAACCGCATGCGCCGTGTGGCAGCTGCTTAGGAAGAGCACAGGATACTGATCCCTTCCACCACAGAGACGCTTTGTTCCTTACTATCTGATCTAAAGACGGACTCTTATTTTTTGCCGTGCAACAAGTACAGGGGCGAGTATACGCGTGCGCACGAATTGTTGGGTTGCTGCTGAAGAACAGCAAAAACAGTCTTGGTATGTTCCGTGCTCTGTGAAGTGTAACTCCTGCAGCTTGTTCAGCAACTCCGGCAAAAATGGCTGCATAGACGACTTCGGTGTTCCCAAAGTGGTGCAAAGTGCCATGAACCCGAATCGGTTCAAAACTCAGAGAGGTTTATCCCTCTCTTCCTTGTCCAAACCTGAGTCTTTAAAAACAGTGAAATGCTTTGCTACTTTTGTTTCTCCGTGTCTCAGATTTAGCCAGTAGCTAAGTAGCAAGCAGTGTGGATTTTAGCGAGCCAAACAGTAGAGGAGCAAGCCTGCTCCATCTTGAGCCAGGATTTCGCCGCCGTCCACAGACTTCATCATTTCATCAAACTGTTCCTAAGCACATTCTTCTGCGCATACAGTGGCAGCCTCTGCAGGCGGCCTCAGCGGCAATGGTCTTCGTGCATTGTTCACTACAACTCAGCACAAGACCGCGAGCTAGGAGGAACCAGCGGCCGCGTTTCCGTCTTCACCTTGCTTTGCTGGATTTGCTACGTCCTGATTGACGCTGTCAACTGTGAAGCGAGGACTCCACTGGCAAGTTGCTTCTTCCGAGACAGCCATCCAGTCAAACAGGAGGGATGTCGCTGCGAGCGCACACCGCACAAGCAAAATAAAATTGTCTAGAAGAGATAGCACGCCAGCTTTACTTGCCCTATTCGGCTACGTTTTTGAAGCAACGGCTTCTGAGCAGTAACACAAAATCACGTGCACACGCTCCCTTTACACTTCTGTGTGGATTCTCACGTAGCGTATCGTCGTGAACAATGCGTGAAGTACTTCGAAGCGGCACCTTTTCCTCTCGTTTTTCACCATATCGCTTTTCTCCCGATATAATGGCTGTTTTAGACTGAGACAAGGATAGGGCAGGGCCAGCCAGACTGCGAACGGCGTGCAAGGTAAAAGTTCGACTTTGGGTGTGTTTGTCTGTTGCGGGTAACTTTACAGGAGCTCCCTCAGCAGCCATAGTTCTCCACCGGCTCATATTTGCTTCCAGAAGTGATAGCACTTCTGCTCTGTGATAAGCAGCACAAAAGGCGTAGGAGTTCCCATACGTACTGAGACACAACAGTCCCTTGCTGCCACTCGGAATTAAGTCACTTTTCGTAACTGCTAAAAAGGAACGAGTTTTCTACAGGAGCAACCAAACAGATTTATACATTACAAGTTCCTGCAGTGCAAGAACGCACGCTACTCGTTTATGTCCATCCAGTTCAACAAGCTCCGCAACAAGGGGGCGCGCTACGAACGACAAGAAACTTTCTTGCGACCTTGCGATGTCCATGTTGGCTGAGCGACTGCACAGTGGAGATATCGGAAGACCCCGCCTTAATTCCTGCAACGAAGACACTGATGCAGACGGAACCATGAAAGCCAAGTAACAAGCAACAGAGTGCGAAAAACTGTGCAGCAGTATTGGTGCGCCTCTACAAAATGACATTTTGGGCGTGCGCAGCATTTACTAGGAAAACAATACATGAAAGTGAAACATGCGCGCAATGTTTACTAATTGCCGCACAATAGCAACGAGAACCGCAAGTGAACTAAGTGCATCTCTTGCTTCACAGTCGAACGCTGCCCATTCAATGCTGCTTTTTGACTCCTGAGCACCAATTTGCTCACCTCGTCTCCCTGCTGATAAAATTCCTCTGTGATGGCACAGGTCATGTTGAAATGATCGGGCCACGGAAGGCATGTGTGGCAGAGATCCCCAATTTTTATGCACATTCGTAAAGTCGCCCAGCGATCTTCTGCACTAGAACGTATGGAGAATTCCTCGCTCTGTCGGCGCATGCGGAATTTGGAGATGTCTTCAAAGTGCTGTTTCATGTCGGTACTCAGTATACATTCTATGATCTTCGCTCGCACGAGACGGAATGCGGTAACGGACAACAAATAAAAGATATTGCAGCTCTTCCTTAGTGACGCAACGACAACACACAGCTAAAAAACTCTTCGTCTCATGGTTTGAACTTCAGTGAGGTGTTATGTCCAGTAAAAACTGTTGACGAATCTACTCACTGCAATACATTCGTACAAATGTGCGCTTAAGGCCTCAAGTATACAGCGTCTCACAAGAACGCACAGAAACGAGAGGAGAGGAAGAATCAGGACAGCAAATTTCTAGCGGTACTGCCAGTAATCTGTACCTTTCGAGAATTCGAAAACACAGGCAACAATGGAAATTCTCTAGGGGAGCAATGTCATTGTAAATAATAGCCTGCAAACAGCATCGGTACCTGGATTGAAGTAAGTCACTGCGGTGGCACAAACTCTAAGAGCCTACAGTTCCAAGCTCTCGTGACCTCCAGTGTGCCAAAACACCTCAAAGAAGTAGGCCAATTCTTCCCGATGTCTAGAAACTGTTGAGCAAATTTCAGGAGAATGCAACGAATAATACTCACCAAGGGGTCGAAGCAAGCCACGAAAAACTGATTGGTGCGTCCAGGGTGGCCCACGTCGTGCGCCAGTGCCGCAACGGCAAGTGCCGCTTTTTCCAACGGCTCCATCCTGTTCGCACTTTCGTTAGAACGCGTCGCTTAAAAACACTGCACTTGCCGCACTTTTAAATGCATATTCAAAACGGCAATGGGGGCTTTGTTGTACGCGCGCAAATCATGTACCGCTCACGATTGTCCCCTATGTGGTTGTGAATGTGAGAGGGATGTAAATAATGCGGACAGGGCTGTGACCTACAGTGGCCAGACGCCGAGCATGTTGGCCATGCAAACTGTGGCGTGGCCCACCTGCCCAATCAAGCCACAAAAAAGTAAAACAGCAGTGTTCGCTCAGATTGAGGCACCAATGCATGCAACAGGGAGCAAGGCGGTAGATTCAGTTTTTCCAAGAGCAGCTTGCTTTACCATTGCTGCATGCGCATGATTGTGATACGGGTTCTTCTGATACTGAGATTGCAAGGTGCACAGGAAGTCACACAGCTCGTCGCTGCTGCAGCCCCAGTCTGTAACAAAGGGCCCCAACAAGGCGACACCAATAACGTAGAGGGACCCTTGGACTTCTTTTTCAACCTGCAGATTTAGAGAAATACACGCATGTGATGCTTCAAAGATCTTTTGTTTAGTTAAGGACAGTTTAATGCGCTCCATTACGCTTTTCATTTCGTGGGCTTCAGTGCGCCTAAGCACACACTATCTATTGCTGCCTAGTAAGCGCCTAGCTTAAGCTACACCATCCACAGTTCTGAATCTAAAATGTATAAAAGGAACAACTACTCGCTAACAACCGTGGCAAGCAACCAGGAAGGGTTCTGCGCACCTCCAGCACGCTGAACGCCCATTGTTGGCCGATTGCGGGCGCGTTTCGCTCCGACGCTTCCAAGAGCTACAGCGATATTAGAGCAGAACAAGAAGAAAATGTAAGGAGTGGAGCAACTGTATTGGGCTGAACAGTCACGCAGATTCGGCGAAACATTCTTTGTAGGGCAAATGAGATGCCGCGATACCTTCTTTCGTTGTAGCGTTGCTTGCTTCTTTACAGGCTCTTCATCCGAGTCGCTTTGACTTGAATGGCGGATATCGCAAGAAAACCGAAGATCTGTAGGTCAAAAACATAAAAACTGGAAGTTTTCTGGTGCCCGAACATGATTTGACATGGGCAGTGAAGAAACGCAAGCCAGCGAACAGACTAGAGCAAGAGAAAAGAGACAGAATTAACTAGAGAGGCGAATGAAGCACGATTATGGAGAGGACAAAGCAAAGAATTAAAATCTTTATCTTAGGGTCAAATACAAACTTCAGCTTGTAAAGACGCACTGCCTGCATTAATTTGCGTACCTGCTTGAGCAAGCATGTCCGCAGACTTGCGCGCTGCCATAGACTGAAAAGCCGTCAGCGACCGCTGATGAGACATACTGCGAGCGTTTTCCACTGGCTCGGTTCCGTATTGAGAAAACAATTGTAAGAAAGGTTTGCTGAACCTCTGCAAATGCGCGAAGGCAAGCCGTCTCAGCAGTTTTCCGAAATGAATGCGGCGAAACAATCTTTTTATGCCTCTACAGAGCGGCTACTACCTTCTTGTTGGCAAGCTCTGAAGAGTGGACGTTCGGCAAGCAAAGTGGGGGCCCTTACATCTGCATGACCAAAGTCCACTGTGTACAGATTCTCTCCGGCAAGCAGTTTTCGGCGACAGCTGCAAATCCAGGAAAAGACTCACTTGAATAAAACTACAAAAACTCTCACAGCAGTACTGTCAAGGCTTAGTAGATCAACGAATAATGATAGTGCGCAAGCGATTCTGGTTTTGGCACTTCTTTTCACCCTTCTTCAAGCGTACTCAGAAATAATTCTGAAGACTTCGGTAAACTCCTCCCCAAAATCATGGTCGACGTTCCTCATATGCTGCAAAATTTTCCCACACTGATGGAGCAGCAGAAGGCAAGACACGGATCACGAGATGCAGGCATGAACAGTTACAATGCCATCCATGGCATCACGCATGCATCCATACACACACATGCGCATGGAAACAGCGAGAACTAGCACAAGACAGTTGAAGGCAAGAAGCACATACAAGTAATCATAGTGTACAAACAATCTGTGTCGTCGTTTTGAAAAAGTTAACGCATTGCCTGACTACCTATAGTCGGCTAGGAGGCGCTGCTCAGGTGGGACAGCTTACACCCTACCTGTTCAAGTTCTCCAACTACGTTTTCCATTGCTGTGCGGTTTTTGACCCTCTCTCCGCCTTCATTGAGGAGCTCTATGAGCCTCAGTCGTGATCGCTGCAAAGAGCAGCAGGGATAGACAGACGGGTTAGGCCAAAGAAAGAGGCTGCTCTGCTTCAGTCTGCAGCAACTCCGCGCGGGGCAGCACCCGAGAAGCAAAGTAGAAAAATTCTCACTCTCCACTGGTGAAACAGCAGTCGGTGCTGCAACTCGCCAGACAGACGGCCTGCGTAAGCCATGGCCGTCAGAATTGTGGAGATCGCAGCAACAGAGAGCCTGCATAAATGCACCGAAAAAAGCACGCAAAGCACAAGACATGCATGCCTTTTGTGTTTTCGAGACAAGCCTCAGAGGTGGCGAAGGACTTTTTCTCTCTTGGTGCATGAGAATCAGCCGACCAGCCAGCCAGTTAATTGCCTACTTAAGCAGTTTGCTGGAAACGCTCATGTGAGCAACTCTATACAGTGTCATACTTACAAAGTACACAGACTAAAGAGCTTCCCGTCTACGTAGCCCACAATAAAGGGAGCCGTGAGTCCCACGGAAGTTAGGAAATGTAGCACCACAGTCCACTTTGTGAGTATCGGGCCAATTAGATCCATAAAGAGGAGGGTGGAGGCAAAAGAGTACACGTACAAAATAGATATTTCCGTGTTAAGACTGCACAGATTCATCAGTATAACTCCCAAACTTAACTGTGACATTGTCTCTTCCGGCTGCTCTCTGAAAGTCTTGCTCATGTACACCTGCCCCACTATCAAGGAAGCGCTCATACAACCGGAGAACTGCAAAAACAGCAGAAAGTAGAATGTGTGAAATCAAACCAGGCGCAATGCATGCATATATATATACAGCTTCTGAGTTCACAAAATGTATTTAATAATGTAAAAAATGTAAATGCTGCATGCATTCCGTGCTCTATGTAGCTCTTGCGTGCAAGCGGGCATGCGCGTGAGCGTGGGTTTAAAACCTTTACATAAGGTTTAAAGCCGAGCCATTTTGTTTGTTTACCGCGAAGGAGTATGCGCATGCCACCTGTGCTGCATAAATCCTGCAGAAGTAGCCTCCACCACAAGGAATGATGTTTGGGTACAACAGCGCGAGCGCAAGAGAAAGGCCGAAAAGTGTGACGATAACGAAAGCAAAAAGAAGCGGATGAAGAAACCACCTGGCCAAAATGGACCACATATTGGATTCCGGGTCAGAAAGAAAGATAGTAAATTGAATTGGCAGCAACAAACAGTGCTGTAGGAGCAGGTAGATAGACATGCGGAGAGAACACTGGTAGTTCGTCACCGCCACGTATTCCGCCTCCGCCTCCTTGTCTACGAACTGCAGCGGAAAGTACTGCAGGTCCCGAGAGGCAGCTCGGTGCCCGTCTGATAGACGAGTGGACCAATGGTCCGTCGAGGGTCGGCTCGGACTGGAGCTCTTGGAGCTCTTCCCAGAAGCGTCTTTGGACAGCCTGCTGCGGTGTAGAGCTGTCGCCTCTTTGTACGCCCACGTGAAGTTCAGCTCGCCGCCAGCAAGCTCACGGAAAGGCGCTGACAGCGCCGAGAGAATTCGACTAGAAATGCTCTTGTGCAGCGGAGGAGATGGAGTGGAGGCGGGGGCAGCCTCCGCCTCAGGATCTTTGCTTTCCTTTGAGTCCCCAGCCTTTTGAAGCTCAGTGGGCTTCAAGTCCTGGACGATCGGGACAAAAGCGGAGCTCTCTTCATCTTCCTCCTCTTCTGTACACCCGCTTAGCTGTCTGAAACTTTGCCCTAAATTTCCGGTCACTGATCTGTCAGCTTTGGTGAATGTGCGCCGAATTTCTTCGCCAGTTTGAAAAAGACTGTCTGAACGTACACTCGAAATCATGGAGGTGGGGCCTCCATTGGCGCCCTCGAATTCGGTGGCTAATGCAGGCTTAAACGAAACCGTCTTGCGCACGGATTGTGCGGGAGTGAGGCTTCGGTTTTCCTCTCCGCAGAACAATTCTGCAGGCTTTGACACGCCTCGCGACAGATTGAGGCGGTCGCTTTCATCACTATCATTATTGGCTATCAGTGCTTGCGATGTTGCTGTGTTGGCCCCGGCAGATCCCCCGTTCTGATCAGGAATAGACCCCATCTTTGCACTCTATTTGATTTGGCGTCCCCTCTTTGGGGCGACAGCAGGCAGATTTTGGGCTGGGCAGAAAAGCCCCTGCGTTGATCCGCTCGACATAAATGCATGAAGCACCGCTGTATAGTCGCAAACAAGGACTCGCGGGCAGCTCCTTCAGTTCAAAGTCGTCTCGCTCGAAACACTTCGCCCGAAGCTGTTTTCCGCAGCTCTGGAAAAAGAAAGAGTTTCCTCCGCAACTGTTTTAGAAGTCAAAACCGGTGTGCTGCGCGAATCAGCCTTAAGGCGACGCCGCGCAGGAACAGAACTGGTGGCCTCGGTTAGAGCACCAGTTAACCACCCGGGGAGATGCTGTGCCAGGAACCGGGTAAAATAAAACTCCCAGCGTCTAGACGTCGATATAGGTAATGTCTAAATGCAAGGGAGCGGATATTCATCCATAAAATTTCCCTTGTAAATCAGCCTGTCCCACGCGCTCGTTGCCGGGTGAGTGGAACTGGCTGGACCGCATCTCCAACGGCCCTTTTCTCACGGCAACTACGCGACAGCAACCAAAAGCCCTTCAAAAATATTCATGCAATCGTTTCTTGAAGCAATTCCTGATAGTTTTGACTGCACAGGCAGGCCTGAGGCCGCAGCCGAGCAGGGCGCCGAATGTCCTTGCTTGTAGATCCGCAAGAGAAAAAGGCCCCGATCCAGCTTTCTGCCGGCTTGAACCAACACAATATGTAATAGAACATAAAAAGCTTAATCCAAATCTTTTTTTAAATAAAGGACTTTGGATTTATTGGTTCCCTTTCTGTGCTGTTTGCAAGGCGGCGCCCCTTTTCCTAGGCCTGACGCTTCACTGCAGTCCATAGTCAGAGGCCTTGCGTGTTACTGCATGCACACAGGAAACGCCGTTTTTTTGGCACTTTTTGTAATTGAAAGTTAACTTGAACTAACTTATGGGCTGAATACCTACTTTCCATCTCTGCAAAAGGCAGGGAAAATTGACCTGTCCCGCGTCTTGAGACGCGAGCGATACTGGAATCCTGAAATCTGGCTCTTTGTATGTGCACAGTGTTTTGCTGACCCGTAGCCTTATAATATGACTGATATTGGTAAACACATGGATTAAGTGCAAACACATGTCCACACATGTGGGAGTCTAGTTTGCTTAGTCCATTTGACTGCGCTTCCGTGGGACTGTGGAACGTGGGTCCCTCGCTGACTGCTAAAATGCCTGGAATGCCCCCCCTAGTTTTCAAATTCAGGACCGATTTAGACATTCTAGCAAACATTCTAGCAAACTTTAGAGGGGCTCTAGAGGCTAGGTCACAGCTGGCAGCTTGAAGCGAACGAGAACTGAGCTGTAACAGGCGTCTATTTATTGAGATTTCAGTCTTAAACATTGTTTTCTCCAAGAATATTCTTCACTTTCTTCCTTGTAGCACTAAAAGAGATTCAGGTTGCCTCTGATTTCGAGTAAATGAGTGCCATAGCCGCCCATAAGTTTGCAGATTCAACTACGAGACACAAGTAGGCGCAACTGCCAGGCGCCGAACAGTGTGCAGATTAGGAAATCTTACTTCTCCGCAGAGAAGTGAAATTTGATTTTTGGAATAGCCAACGAATGAGCCGCGACTTCAAGCTTCACTCGACGCCACGTCAGCGATCGTCATAGGAAGATATGTGTCTGGACTTCTCTTTAAACTTATTTATCCAACACTTTTTGAAATCCATTTGAAAAGAACTCTGTTCAGTGCATGCAGCGCGGAAATCCACTTCCTGAACGCCTGTGAGTGGCCGTCCCCGGCCTCTGCATATGCTCATTGTATTTGTTTCTTTTCTGCTGCTTAACACTGAAGTCTAGTCAATATATTGTTCTTTAGAACATGCCTGTGTCCCAGAACTCGGGAAACTCCACCGAGATAACTTGAGGGCTAAGCAAAGGAGGCATCGGGCACCAGCTCCACTGTCTTAGCCCAAATTGCTTCTCGTTTCACTTTGTAACGAAAAAATTATAAGTTGTAACGAGAAAAATATAAGTCATAGCCTGAAGATAAACCTTCTACATCGCAGTTTTGAGCCCTTCGACACTGGTGCCGTTTCTCTTTATCTAGAGTTGTTCAAAGCATCTCTCTGCAGACCATATAGAACACTGTCAAAGGATAGCTCTGGCAAGTAAGTCAATTGCTTTCCTTTTTTTAAAGCATTTGTTTATTTCCGGGTTACTCAAAAGTGCTTTCCGTGCAGAACACACTTCTGGGATTTTCCTGTTGTTCAACGCAGACTTTCAAACTTGGTTTCTTCAAACCATACAGAATACTGTCAAAGGATAGCTCCGGCATCTAAGTTGATTGCTTTCTTTTTATGTATTTGTCAATTTCTGGGTTATTCATTCCTCGTTCAACTCAGACTAACAGATTCAAACTTAGTTTCTTCAAATCTTCTTGACGGCACTGGCGCGTGCCGGAAACGAGCAGGGAAAAGAATGGAGGCCAACACGCAACCCCAACGAGTAAGTTGGTTTTTAAAACTGACTGTACATCTCGACAGGAACAAGAGCAAAAGGTAGGGGCAGACATGCACGGGGAGCCACTGCAGCAGCAGCCGCTGCAGCCGCTGCAGCGCTGCAGCCGCTGCAGCGCTGCGGCTGCTGCAGCGCAGCAGCAGCAGCAGCTGCTGCTCCCGGAGCTTCCGCCGACTACAAAGCAATATTTGCACTGACAAGGGCATATATGCTCATTGCTCCTGCAAGCCCAAGGCGACCTGCATGCAAGGGTTGGGGTTTAATCAAATAGCGCGCATTTCGCTTCACGAATTGCTTCACGGGTCCCGGCTCAAATTAGATGCTAAGGGAACACTACCACACATCTGTTGCTCCAGCTTGTGCAAGTTTGCAGCGAGCCCGGCGCGTCCTTCTGGCCTGCTGCAGCAGCTGCAGCAGCAGCAGCAGCTGCAGCAGCAGCAGAGAGGGGATTCAAATTAAAGAGCTCGCCGCGGCAAAAAAAACTAGAGCACAGCCGACGCACTGAAGCCAAAAGAGAAGACAAACTTGCGCCTGCACTTCGCCCCCGGGCCCAGCGCGGACACCCCACGGTGAGCCTTTGCCCGGAAATGCGACTTGCAAAAGGCAAATCTTTTCAGAAAGTGCTCGCATTCTTTTGCACTTTTCGAATGCCACTAGTCAAAATAATGCAAGCCAGATCTGCCCCCGTTGCCGTCCTCAATTTCCGCACCGATTCGGAAATCTAACAGTCCCCACAATCTCCACGCGGTCACCGTCGCTTCCCACATATACCTCTGCATGCACACAAACAAGTAGTGCGCGCGGGTGTACGTACACCCCAACAAGCAGCGAACACGCGAGAAAACGCAAAGTGCAAAGACAGATGCCACTTCTACTTTACTCTCCCTGGGCCACACGTACTGCTGCCTGCACGCAGAAACACAGCAGAACAATAAGCAAAGAAACGGTGAGTGGGCTGTGGCTGCTGCTGTTCTCTGCAGCTCTTCACCAGCAAACAGAAAAGTGCCACTCTCTACTCTACGCAGCAAACTTCAGCTCTTTTCTTCCTACCCTATACAGAGCGCGAACTCCCTGCAGCACACAGCCACAGCGCAGCAGCAAACAGCAAACTCTGCGCCGCTTCTGCAGCAAAGTGCCTTCACTATGAATGGAAATGCAGCTGCACAAACGTTTGCAATTTGCAAATGCATGCAAGAACAGCCACCAAAAAGTGTAGGCAAACGTGCAAGTAGGCATGACTGCAATGTTGCGTTAAGTTGAAAGAAGAACTGCCAGGACAGAGAGCAGAAAGGTGAACGCACTGAAGAGAAGAATCCCTCCTGGGAAGGCTTCGTTTTGTCTTCCTTTTTGGGCTGAAAAACACAAATAAACAAACAAAAAAGAAACAAAACAGAAATGCAGACACCTGGCGAGCCAAGAAAGCCCGGGGATGCAGCTGCGCATACACCCGAGAACTGCATGCAAATATTCGAGTTCGAGCATACACTCTGCACAGTTTCTTCTTTCTCTCTTTCTTCAGTCTTCGTTTGTTCTTTTGGTTCTTCTTTGGGCTTCGTCTCCTGCGAAGGTCCCTGGACAGGAGTTTTCTCTTTCGGCTCCTTTTCTTCGGCGGGCGCCTCTTCCACTTTCTGTTTATCTGCAGACTCTTTGGCTTCTTCTGGAGCCCTAAAACCCCCTTTTTGTTCTTTTATTTCCTCTTTCGGCACTTCTGTTTTTTCTGGTTTCTCCTGAGGCTGTCCAAGTTCTCGAGGTTCCTCTTGAGGACCCGCGGGAACCCCTGCTGGCTGCTGCACTTCCTCTGCAGGCGCGGCCTGCTGCTGCTGCTCTTCTTCCAATTCCACATCCTCGGAGTCCAATATTTCCCACTCATCATCCCCACTTTGCTCGTAGAAGGCCAGCGGGACTTCTTGGTGTGGCTGCTGCATCGGGGGCACTTCCTGTTGTCCTGTTGACTCCCGTTGCTGCTCCTGCGCGGGCTGTTCCGGCGCAGCAGCAGCAGCAGCAGCTGCTGCTGCTGCTGCTGCGGGTTGCTGCACGTCTGGAGCAGCAAAATCTTTGCCGGCCTCCGCGTCTTCTTCAAAAGCCGTCAATACCAACTTCGGCTGCAGCATATTTCCCTCCAGGGTTTCGTCTTCAGTCAACTCGGGGGGCACAGGGGCTTCCCCGAAAGGCGTCAGCAGCTCCTGCTCCTCCAGGGCAGCAGCAGCATCTTTCTGAGGACCCAGCAGCAGCAGCAGCAGCAGCAGCAGCAGCGAGAGAATGAGAGCCCGCAGCTGCGTGCAGCAGCAGCTTTGCGAAGCCAGCAGCAGCGGGAGCGGAGCGAATGCAGCTGCACGGCGGACTGAGCAGCAGCAGCTTTGCGCAGGCAGCAGCAGCGGCAACGGCGCGCGCGCAGCTGCACGCCTGCACCCAGCAGCAGCAGCAGCAGCAGCAGCAGCAGCAGCAGCAGCAGCACCTTCCGCCGGCCCAGCAGGAAGCGCCAGCAGAGCAAAGCCACTCCGAGGACCAGCAGCAGCGGCAGCGCGTGGCTCTCGGGGCGGCCCTCGCGAGAAGAGTCCCAAAGCTCCGAAGAGGCCTCGAGAGTGCTGTCTTGAATGAGTGCAGGCTCGAGGAGTTCGGGGGGCAGCGGCGGGTCTTCGTTGCTGGGAAGTCCCGCTGCATGCGCTGCATGCGCTGCATGCGCTGCATGCAGCTCTGCATGCAGCTCTGCATGCGCTGCATGCGCTGGGGGCAGCTCCTCGGGGCGCGGCAGCCGCGCCTCTGCAGCGGGCGGCAGCCCCTCCGCGCCCGTGGCCGTGTCTAGCTGGGGGGGGGCCTGCTGGTAGAGTTCTGCTGCAGCAGCAGCTTGCTGCTGCAGCAGCAGCAGCGCGAGCAGCAGCAGCGCGCAGAAGACCCGCATTTCCCCTCGCAGGCGCGACTTCTCTCGCAGGGCAGCAGCAACCTCGCGCTGGAGATACACCCCAGATCCAGCAGCAGCAGCAACTCCAAACAGCAAATCCCTCCGCAAATGCAAAATAAAGGGCCCCGAAACTTGGGGGGAAAGCTGAACTCCGGGGTTTAGCGGCGGGCCCCCAGGGCACGATCGAACACGAACAGTGCGCCCCTCAGAGCTTCGTCCTGCAGAAACTGCGCGGCAAAACACGGGAGCCGCTGCGGGAAGAAGCAAAAGGGGCGAAAGAAAAAGAAAAAAGCCCTTTTTTGCAAAAATAAAATTGGGAAAAACAGAAACCGCAAACTTCCAACTCCTGCAGTCCTCTGCGGACAGCGGACAGAGGAGCGAGTTTAGGGCAACGACACTAGGAGGCTACTTGTGCCCTACTCAGGCTCCCCTGGCTCGGAACTGGACCCATTCAACAGTAAATGCACCTTTGCATTATCAAACATTATCGAAAACAAAATAGCACAACAATTTTCTCGCGTTTTCCGCGAAAAAAAGCATTTTCCCCTCGTTTTGCTCTCCAGCAGCTCCACCCAGTGGCAGCCGAACGCCAGGACCTGCGCTGCTTCCCGTCTCCTTCTCTCGAACTAAATGCCCCTTTTTTTCCACCAAACTTCGCCAAAACATTCAACAAACATAAACATGCAAAAACTCCAGTGAGGGACAGTTTTCTTTTGCAAGTTCGGCACCGCCCGGAACCCCCCCTGGCTGTCGTGCTGCCCCTCGCAGAGTTCCCTGGAGGCGGGAAAGCTCTGCATCCAGCCAAATCTAATTTCGCCTTTTTGTCTTTTACTGCTCTGTGTTGGCTTTTTTTTTGGAATTCCTTTCGAAGTTTCGCGCAAGGAGGCAGCCCTTTCGACTTCTGCTGCGTCCCACCATGATCAGATGCGTCTTTGTCGTCAACACCCACGGCAAGCCTCGCATTGTGCGCTTCTACGACGGCACAGTAAGTCCTTTTTGCTTTGAAATTCTGCAAAATTTCCCTTTTTCCCTCGGAGTTCTTTCTTTTCCGCCCGCTCAGCCCCTCCGAGCTGCTGCGGCGTCGCTCTCCGGTGCCTCTGCAGCCACACGAGAAGCAGCAGCATGTCATGAAACGCCTCTTTGCTGCAGTCAGCCGCCGCCCCGATGACGGCTGCTGCTGCTTCACAGAAGACAAAGAATTATTTGGCCCGAATCACCGCATCATTTACAGGTGAGGGCACTGACCCTTGCTGCAGCAGCCCCGCTGCTGCAGCAGCGCGTCGCGCAGCAGCACGTCGCGCAGCAGCTAGAGTAGATCGCAGCTGAACCGCAGTCACCAAGATGCTGCTGCAACTCTGCAACTGCAGCACCAGCTGCTGCGACAGCAGCAGCAGCTGTGGCAGCAGCAACAGCTGTGGCAGCAGCAACAGCTGTGGCAGCAGCAGCAGCTGTGGCAGCAGCAACAGCTGTGACACCAGCAACAGCTGTGACAGCAGCAACAGCTGTGCCAGCAGCAACAGCTGTGCCAGCAGCAACAGCTGTGCCAGCAGCAGCAGCTGCAACAGCAGCAGCAGCACTTCTTGCGGCAGCGCTTCGGTGGCAGCAGCTGCTGCAGCGCCACCAACTGCAGGGCTATGGGGGTTTCTTGTTTTGTGCTGAGACATTTCTTGAAGGCATTTTGCAACTCTCTATTTCATATTTGTGACGGACGAGCTGGAGAGCGAGCTGGGGATTCTGGACCTCATTCAAGTGCGTCATTTCTTTGAATTTGCTGCAGCAGCAGCAGCGCAGCAAAAGGAAATGAATGCCAAGTGCTTCAAATAGACTTTCATTTAAATTGAAAACAGCCAGACTAAATCTAATCACAAATTAATAAAAATTCTTTCTTGCGGTTCTTTTGGATTTAAATATGGGAAAAATGACACTCATTTGTGTGTTTTGCAAAATGGAGCATCTGCCTCCAGTGCGGCAGACATTTGCTTCTTTCTTCCAGCAGCTTTTTGGAAAATAATTTGATTTCCTTTTTTCTTTTTCCTTTTCTTTTGCTGCATTCAGGTGTTCGTACAGGTCCTGGATGCCTGTTTTGAAAATGTCTGCGAACTGGACCTCGTCTTTCACCACGAGAAGGTGCTTTCAGTTTGCAAATTGCTTCTAGAAGCAGCAGTTTCTTTTCCCCACGATATAACTTGGTTTCAATTTGGTTTAAAAACTCAAAAGGGGGATTTGCTGCTGCTTTGCAGCAGCAAAGCAGCAGAAAAAACCTGCTAGTTTGTGGAATTCATGTTTCGGCGTCTTTGTGTCCAGTTCGGGTGTTTGCTGCTTGCTGCAGTTCAAATTAATTGCATTTTTGAATTAAATATTTGGTGAATTGCCATTTTATGTCTTTTTGTTTGTTGCTGTTCAGATTAATTACATTCTTGACGAAATAATTTCGGGAGGTGAGGCGCAGCCCACAGCCCAGAATATGCGACCCCTGCACTTTGCGTGAAATGCTCTTGCGGTGATTTCAAACTCGATTTAATTCTTTTTTCTCTTTTCTGTTTTCATTAGTGACTTAAAAGCTCCGAATGTTTATTGGTTTCCAGTTGGATTCAGTTTGCCGCGTTTGCATTCATAAAGTTGCAATTCTGAACTCATTCCGGCTCTGATCAGAGTTTCCATCTACTACAACCTGATGTTTTTGAGTTCAGTTTGTTCTCATTCAGTTTCGAACTAATAATGTGGTGATTTTGAATTCATTTTTGCTTTTTTTCTGAGTGAAACAAAGTGATTTCGAATTCATTGTCCCATTCAAGTTTGCATCTTGCATGCGAAACGCGCAGGCCTGGTGATGGACACCGCAGTGGACAGCATTTTGGAGTCTGTGGGAGGAGTTAAGAAGCTGGTTGATTCTGAAACATCTTTTTTTGCATAAGCGTCTTGTGGATTCTTGAAGAGCCGCTTCTTTCTTGGGAATTTGTT